ACCCGGTGTTGGATCCAGGTGTGCACATATCATTTTCCTTAATTATAACACTACCGTCTAGAAAAAGCCCAGTGGCCTTATTGAGGATTGCGGTTACTTTCTTATATAGGGTTCTTGGATAATATTACAAATCAAAACCCGTTTGCCGACTAAAGAGAGGACAAAAGAAAAGTACTTGGAGTGAAGTCACACATTCAGCAAAAGAAAAAAAAAAAAGGTCCTTTTTTGCAGATCTGAGTGAGAATAACTTCATTCATCATCCACAACAGCATCAAAGAAAGACCCTAGATTTACCCCCTGAAATTCGGCTTTTTTAATTTCTTCAATTGATCAAACTTGAGGAAATTTAAAGAAATTATTGGTCTTCAAGCTCAATTCTGGGTGGACATCCATGGGTTTTTCTTGTTTTCCTCCATTAATTTGATTTGATCATGCCCGAACTTCATGGTTCCATTAGAGAGAAAATAGACGAAGATGAGCATAAGGAGCTTCATGGGTTCTGTTGTGTTGATTTGATATTTTATCCCCTTTTTTTTTCTTTTTTTTTTCTGCCAGCTTTGAACATATTGGTCTTTGGTTTTTTTATTAATTAATTAAATTATTAATAAATTGACATAATCACATGATTAATTAATTAATTAATTCCGTGGATGGTGATATAAGGACAATATTTTTATATTGCCTTTTTATATAACTTTTACATAGTATTAAATAAATAAATGTACTTAATATTACAGTGACATGTAAGATTGTATCAAAAGATAATATAAAAAAATTATCTCTAAATTATTTTCCTTAATTCGACTAAGGGCACAACATTAAAATTGGTGAGTAAGCATCCATGTCAACATTAAATAATATAGCAATTAACATCACAAAAGATTTTAAACTAATAATCTTTTATAATATATTATTAAATGAGTGTGATATATTATTATTATTATTATTTTATCTTGGTTGTACAATGAGAATGAATCATCTCCAATCTTTTATCCTACCTTACTCTCATGTCATACGATTCAAATTCAAGATTTCTTACTTCCAACAGAAGGAGATGACAACTAAGTTACTTAAGTTGTTGACAGCGTGATATATTATTAAATAAATACATGTAAAATTACACTAAATAAAAAGAACTAATTAAATAATTATATATCATGTTATAAACTTACAATACTACATGATATTATAACTAAATTATTTTTATAAATAATAACTCATTTATCCAAGTCCATAAGTTGGTAGGGGTGATTTGCTCCCTTTTTTTTTGTTGGAAAATGAATTTGTCCCTACTATAATAATTAAATGGTGGATTTAGATATTCTATTAATAAAATTTCATTACAAAATTTATTAATTTTTGGTTAAGTGTCTTTAACTTGTTATATAAAACTTTGAGAAAATTATTTTTTAATGGTTTGATTAAAATTTCATTTTGGATTAAGTCAATATAATTTTTTATCTTACATAAGTGAAAAAATACCACTACTGCAGGAATGGGATTTCCGAACCGAAACATTGGTCCGGATATATAGGAAATTGGTCTGAATATATATATCCGGACCAATATTGGTCCTTATAGTTGATCCGAAAAAACCTGGTACGAATAAGTTTAATATACAGACCGACGCATAATCGATTCGTATATATATAATATTCGGACCGAAATCGGTCCGTATATTTCAGTAAGAAATATAAATAATTATTGAGAAATTGAAATAAGCGGACCGAAATTGGTCCCAAAAAAATAATATAATAAAATAATAAAATATATACGAACCGACAACGGTCTGTAATTGTGGGGGAAGAGGCATCGCAAATATATACGGACCGGTATCGGTCCGAATATTGAGGACCCAGCTGCAACTTTTAAAACTTGCAACTATATCCCAACCGGGATCGGTCCGAATATTGTGGACTTGCTTGTAACTTTTAAAAGTTCCGTCTCCCAACCGGCGCCATTCTATAAATATATACAGACCGGTATCGGTCCGAATATTGTGAACTTTCTTGTAACTTTTAAAAGTTCCGTATCCCAACAGGCGTCATTCTCAAACTATATACA